AGAGGTTTTAATCCTCTTGATAAATTTAAACGTATTGTAGTGTTCACAGTCTCTGTACTACATACGCTTCCTGTTAATATAAGGCCAATCTTCCACGTTTATTAGTTTAAAGTTAAATTAGAGTTTAGTTTTATTTTTATACTTTTACGTTAGACCCCAAGTGGCGGTCAGTGTATTCCGAAGTACGGAAGTTATTGTATATAGAGAAAAATAAAGGGTTTTGTATACCCTTCATGTGCATCCTGTCTACTTACCACAATTAGTGAACATAGCTTTAGTAAGCTCTCTGTTCCGAGTCAGGTCCTTGTATGTTCCCGAAGAAGGTAAGAAGGAACATTGAACCTGATAAAGTAGCCAAAAATGTCTATAATTTAATAGGCCGTACAACGAAGTCATGTTATGTCCACATCAGATTTTTTAAATTTTTTAAACGGTAATATACTTTCTTTATATTTTGATATCCTTCTGTTTATATCACTATACGATCAAAAAAATGAAGAAAAAGCATGACTAAGCATGTAAATTGAAATTTTTCTTAAGTTGAGTTTAAATGTTATTCAAGAATAAAAATTTAATTTTATGTGTTGACAATACTTATTATTTAAGAAGATAATTTTTTAGCTGTATTAAAGTTTATTCTTTATTGGCCCAAAGGGGACCCAGAAGCCCAAAACCCAAAGAGGGCCCAGAAGCCCAAAGCCCAAAGGGGGCCCAGAAGGGCTATTAAATTCGAAACACTTTTTAAATTGTTGCCACCAAATATTAGAGCATTGCATTATATTTAAAAAATTAAATAATGAAGAATCTGCATAATGTATGTTTCTCGCATTGTGATAAAACAACGGTACCTAGAGCCATCCAATTTTTGAATAACGTACATCTTCACCGTAATATGGGCATCTGGAAGCCCAAACTTGGAATTTGTATTATCTATTTCATATTTTGTCAAATATTAAAGAATTTTTTATCAACAAACTCAACGATTTCAAAGCGAGCAGTGTCAACACTGTACGAAAAAAAAAAAAAAAAATTATCTCCAGCACGCAAGTCTGTGTACCGGAAATTCTAAAGATATGCTCTTTTAAATATTTTGTGATATTGCTGTTAAATTGAATTTTCTGGTTTAAGTGCGAAGAACACGGTATTAATGAAGTGAAGGTAACACATATAAGATTAAAAAATGCCCCTTTGGGCGTAATATAAAATCTGAAAGCTTTTAGAATTTTTTTTTCATTTTAAAATTTTTTAATTGAAAATTAGGGATAAAAATTTCTCTTTAAGTGTTATTTTTCTTTCTTAACAATCCACACTCCATTTCTTGTTTTCCCTCTTTTATTAAAAGATATTTATTTGACGTTTGTGATCTTGTAACAACTGAAAAATTTTTAATTGAAAACTTATTTTTATACATTTGAGAAATTTTAATGATAAAATCATGAGTTCTGCAGTTTAGAATAAGAAATTAAATTCGGGGATATGGCTGAAATTTTTCCCACTAGTGCCACATACATTAAATGTTCTTTCAGCATTAAGAAGTTCGTGAGCATTGCTTGACGATTAGATTTTATGACGGTTTTATGGTGATTTTTAACTGTTTTGTTTGTCATAGTTTAATTTATGATAATTATATGATGTTTCAGAGCAGCTTAAATTCTTATACAAAGTTTCATCTTTACCTTACATCCGTCTGTTTCTTAGCTAGACATTCAGACGTTCATTGCTTAGGACGAGTTATTGCGTGAGCAATTTAAAGAAAAATAACAGATTTCTACAACAATCAGACAGAAATTAATATTATAAACTGAACATTTACTAGTAATCCAAGGTAGTCTCTAAAGTCGCTGCGAAGTCAAATTCTGAGTCTTACCAGCAATAAACGTTCAACAAATACAGTACTTTTTGTATTATAGCATTATTTGATGTACCCCAATTTCGGATATTACAAGTATGTTGTCTGAAATCACACGTAGAGAATAAAGGTAATTCTTCAAACATCGAACTCTTTCCTTATGGATAACGTGGTTTCGAATAATCTGTTCAGGCAACTTCCATCCAAAGCTTAGAAAGGCACCTGCATGAATATTAAACTATCGAAGACAAAAAAATAAACTTTTTATAAAGTTATAAAGACTAAACGGTATCTGTGACTTTAACAAATGTTTTCAAAAAAATAAATTTTATAACTCATACGTACACACATCAGTGTGTAATAAGTATATGAAGGCAAATAACCAGTATGTTAATTTATTAGTTTTAGTACATTGATACAACGAAAAATATTTCTTGCTGAATTCAATTAATTATTGATGTACTGAAAAATCTAGCATTATTAATTATTTAAATTAAATTATTATCAATTATTTAATTATTTAATTAAAATTATTAATTATTTAATTATTTATTTAATCTAGCATTATTAATTTTGAGATTCTTTATAAACTGAACATCATGCGATGTTCACTCCCATAACGTTCATGCTATCATGTGTATTTTTTATCTTGTATTTTTCATATGTTTCTGTTTATTAATGCAATTTAATGACTGAAATTTATAACATGGTTTCATTGTTTTAAAGGCTCCCATTGAATATAGGATTCTGTAATCTTTTTCTTGCACTGCGTTGATATGTTACTCATTTTTATGGAGTCTCGTTGTAATGCAAACTGAGTTCTTGTTACACCATCTCATTTTTACTGTGAAACACTGCATCGAGCCTGCATTTTCTACAAGATCAGAAAACTGAGTTAGCTGTATGAACGTATTGAACTGTATAATAGGAACAATGAATATTAACCTATAGACCAAGAAAAGGAAAGAGGTGTACGAAATTCTGACGATTATCAGACTAAGGTTACAAATAAACGTTGTTTATAGCCAGCCTTGTAACACATAGAATTTCACTACAGAAACTTAATGCTAGTGTTTCCCATTTCCCAACAGAATCAGCATACAATAGTAAGATTCCCATAAATCGCTAGAAAATGCAAGTAATACAGAAAATTCTTTCATTGTTGATAAACATAAGGCATTTTATGAAGTCTAAACTCACCAATCACTTCCTGTTAGTCATATAAAAGAACAGATATTTAACTTTTGTGTCCGATTTCATATTTTTATACGATTTAGTTGCTTTTGAATATGCATCTTTAAATGTTTAAATGTTAATTAGACCAATATATTTTACGATTTAAAATATCTTAATTCTAATTTTTACTTGTCTTTCAGCAAATACAAAAATTTGTTTTATCATGTGTGAAAAAGCAAAAGCCATCATACCTCTTTTATGATCAGTTAATATTGTTTATTATAACTGTAATTAGTTACTATTGAACTTGAACTGCTAAATAATTTAATTGTAACGTCTTTTAGCTGATTACTCTCAAATATTCGTATAGTAGGAAAACTTTTGTGAATGTAAACAAGGAAATAAACAGCTTTTAGTACTTCAGTTAATTAGGTTTAATAAAAAATACACCTAAAATGTTTTTGTAACTATTAGTTATTAACATATTGAATTATTAGTTATTAACATATTGAAATTAGTTATTAACATATTGAAAAATTTGACAACATCATTAATTATAATATAGCATTTTGGAGCTTTTTATAAAATGATGTGACTCCAGCTAAAAGGCCATTTTTTAGCATTAATCATAAATATATAAACTCAAAAAAGCATAGTTCTCGTTCATAAAACTATTTATCTTTGGAGCAGAAATAATGAAAAAAGGATTTAAACCTACTCTACAGGGCGAGTTTCTTTCCGGAATCAATTGCGATAACAGACTGAGGTGCCATATTGCGGAGCAACATAGTGCATTAGTAAATTAGAAGCTTTAGAAATTTCTATTTTAATAGTTCTAAAATGTTATTTTTATTTAGAATAACTAAAATGGAAATTTGAATACGGAAAATTATCATTTCAATTTACAAAGCCGCAGAAAATAATAACAATTTTTAATATATATAGAAATACTAAAAACCTCCTACCGTTAAACAAGGTTGTTAAATAAAATACACCATTTTGATGTAAAATTTTAGGATATATCTTTAAATTTAAAGTAGAAAAGTTTAACTATTTAAAGTAACTTTCTATTTTGATTTCTCAATATAACTTTGAATTTGAAAACTAATTTCCTGATTACAATAAACTTTGAAAATCATGTTGATTGAAAAGCAAATTAATTTAATCAAAAATATTATTTTATTTCTCTACTAGCGTATTCAGTCCAAATTAACATAAATAAACACTAAATCATTATTAGATGTAAACGAATTTCAAAAAATGAAATTATACCAGCATTTCAATATTCAATGTTTTTTATTTCTTCAAAAAGAAAAGAAAGAAAGGGGGAATGCAAAAAAGCAATATATTTTTATACAGATATATATATATATAAGATTTATTGTTTTAAACAAAAATTTTATTTTTTCACGTATTTCCAGTTAAAGACTAAAGCTTTTCTGTTCAACAAGTTTTCAAAATAGTTCCTGATATATGTCTTTTACAGCAGTTTCTGGGTTAAACTTTTTTAATTCATTATTACTGCACATCTACCGATGGTAATAGTAAACGTAATGAAATAATTCATATAAAAAGCAGTATGTACTTTGCCACTGTACTTTCCTGAACGAAGACTGCAATTCACTAAAAAAGTATGATTTCTAAGGATTAAATTTCTTATAGTGCAACTAAGTTATTTTTGGCAAAACAGAAAATAACATATATTTTCAAACTCATATTTGCTATGTTTAATGAAGGTTTCTTACTTAAAAAAAAAAAAAAAAAAAAAAAAAAAACTACTTTTAAGAGAAAAAAATATAGCCTCTAATTACTTTTAAAATTAAAATTTTTCTTTAAAGCAATGTAAAAGACATGAAAGTGATTTATACAAAGCAATATATTTTACTACACTTATACTTTTTAATGAAAATTGTATTACATTAATAAAAGTGACTTGTATGCACTAAATACTTAAATAAAATGTTTAGAAACTCACTTATAGACCATGGATGAAATTGGTCAGGAAAATAACCCACGGGTGTTGAGGGTCGTGCCCGGACGGCATCCATCAGCGATGAACCTACAAGCAGGACAAGGAATAACAACGAAGAAATACTCATGCTGAATATGCGTAAGATTCGATACTAACTCCCTGCGATGAACTGCTAAAGCTTTATAGGACGCGCGAAGACGAAGTTGAGTAGGAGGAAGCTTGCGCGCGCTTCTGACGTCACTGATTTAAGCATCTTCATACGTAACTGACCGTTTGATTGGACCTCCTAGAAAATGCGTAGGAACAGCATGGTGTCAAATTGCGCATTGAAAGATTTTCAATTTCAATAGAGTGCTATTATCTGCTTTTTAATTATAAAGTTTCCGAATTCTGCGAATTAGCATTACAATAATATAAACCAATATTAAATCATAGAAACAATAAGTGGCTTTTTAAACTAAAATATCATCTTCAATCCTTTTATAAAACCATATTAGCAGTGATGATTGTTACGCCATTGCCAATGATTCTTTACTCCTTTTTTACTAACTCTGATTTTCCTAGAATTATGCTCCTATTTCACTCAAAGATTCGCCTTTCCTCTTTCTACTTTTACACAGCCATGTAGGCTTTCCTATTATTTCCCCTCGATCATTCCTTTCTGTTTTTCCCCAACTCTGTACCATATTAGCAGTAAATAAATAAAAACTGAAATTAACTAAAATAAATAAAGCCATAGAAAACTGTAAAAAATTTAGAACTTTAAATCAAACAACATCGAAAATCGTCATAATAAATAATACAGAATACATCACCTTTATAAACAGGAAAAACAATAAAAGATACTTTGTACTAATTAAGAGCTGTGAACTTTACCATATACTATTGTGAAGAAATAAATTAAAATTAAAAAAAAATATATTACGAATATGCCAAAAGGTCTTTTAAAGAGAATTTTCTAAAAGCTTTTCTCAATTATGAGGTCGCTGGAAAAATATTTATCACAATCTCTTTCTCAGTTCCAAAGCACAAAAATTTGGAAGAAAATGATCATCATCATTATTTTAAAAACGCTACTAATAAACAGCGTTTACAAACAATTTCAGTCCAGCATTAAATTTCCCTTTGAACAACTCAAATATCTGAAAGACTCTTATTTATCATTTTTGAGTCATTTGATGTAAACACGGATAATCTTTTACTCATAAATTAATTCAGCAATATATAATTATCTGATTTTACACATCTTCACAAAGATCTAATATTGTGTCAGAAGTTTACCGTAGCATTTATTATTTTCCTTCAAAAGAAACTCGACATAAGAAAACACTGCCTTCCTCACATTTACCCCACAATGATACTTCGCAGAGCTAATTTCAGTCTGAATTGTATTGATTGTTTCAAGAACACGGAAAGTTTCTTCTACAGCATTGCTACAGTCTCTTTAGGGAATATTTCCCATGAATTTTCATCTGACTCGGAATCATAAACTTTTATTTTCGTCTTCCTCTTCTAATTTTCTCCTATTTACTTTTCTTTGAATCCCAAATTTTGTGCCTGAAATGGTGTTGTGTTCACGTATCTTCTTAAATCTTCAACTGGGGCAATTTCCAGATAGCGTGAAATTTCCTATGACTAATCTCAGAATGGCTTGGTTTAGAATATTTCGAAAACGTTTGACATGCTAACTTTAATTTTACATATTATTCCGGAGAAATATAGTAAGCATACTGCGGTTTTAGCTTAACTGTTAGTCCAATTTTGGCAAATTACAAATAAAATGTTTCCGAAGATCAGATTCTCAAATTTCAGTAACTTTTCTACAAAAAAGGAGGGGAAAAGATCATAACACATCATACTTTTGGTTTGCCATTTATTTGATCCTTGGGCTCCTTTGCAAATGAGTAATTTTATTTTACCGCGAAGCTTTACGATAGTAATGCAACCTGGGTTAAAAGTTTTCAAAAGAAATCCGTTGTAAGCGTTTATTAATGGTATGCACAGTTTTAAAAATTTAAGGAAATACCAATCAGTACTTTACGCATATTTGTATTTATTTATCTAAGATTATTGCATACAGTCTTATTTATTTTATGTAACTGACTTTTATTTTGATCCGTTTTATTGCTTGTTCGAATATATTTCCTTTCTGCTTTGATTTATTATTAATTTATATACAAAAAGCTGATTTAATAAGTAATTAAATTTTCACATTTGAAATTAAGCGCAGATAGTTACTTTAATTTTAAGAGCAGTTTGAGTGTATCTGTATATAAAGTCTGTTGATGACGTCTATTGTAGTTTGAAGTTTACTGTATTTAGACGAGAAATGTTGTCTCAGTTTGGAAATAATCTTTCTCAAGTTGAAGACAAATATTGCCAAACTTAGATATATTTGATATGAAAATAACAACCGGAAGTTTCAAAAAATTCATTTTAGGAATTCAGCTTGGAAAGTGCACTGCTATTCGAAATTATTCCGTTACGAAACACTTTTAATGTTCTTTTTCTCTCCGTCAAGCTTCGTAGTAAAACTATTAAGGACAAGAAAAAAATAATATGAGTTCAGGCTTTCAAAGTTTAATAAGCACTTAGTTTGTTTAATAGGCTTATATATTTACTGTGACTCTGGAATATTCCGTTGACAGTTTTTAATTGCAGTAATTCTTATATTTTCGGAAATAAGTAAACAGTGTTTGTTCTTGTGTTAAAGAAGAGTTTGATTATATAAGACTGATGAAGCTGTATTTTACCGTTTTCATTAATAACTCTTATCCCTTCCAGCTGCAAAACGGAATCAAATTTTCCTGTCGTTTAGTTTGCTTATTCGGGAGTTCAAAACCAGCCGCCTCAAACTCAATTACATATTTAAGATAACTGCCGTTTTTTCTTAATTACTATCATTTTTTTCCCTGAAAGGAGTTTCCAATTTACAAGAAAAAAAACTGTGTATAAACTATTTTATAACTAAGCTTTTTTAAATCCAAAAATTTCTATTTTACGTTTGAAACAAAATTTATTTTTAGAAAGGGCAAGAACAGTTAAGGAAAGAGATGAAAGCAGTTCAAGCGGAGATGAAAGGTGATCAAGGATCCGTTAAAAAGGAGACGAGAGCCGTTCAAGAAAAGATTGAAGCAGGTTAAGAGAAAATGAACAGAGAAATTACCTGCATAATAGAAGGCAGAATAGATGCTATCGAAAATAATGTTTGACACATTGAAGAGAGCGTTTCTTCTGTGGAGCAACAAACCGAAGGAAGAGTTTCTGCCGTTCAACAACAAACTGATGACAGGGTTTCTGCAGTAACCAAAGAAGTTGATACCTGGAAGAAATTTGTAGCGACGAAAGGGAGCTATACAGATGGTTTTAAATTTTCACCGACGCCTGCCTGTCCTTCTCTGAAGCTATCCACATGTGTTGGGAAGACCTCTTGGCAAGTGTATAAGACTTAGTTTTCCATAGTGGCAGAGGCGAACGGATGGGATTCTCAAGCTAAAACCTGTCATCTCGCCGCTTATCTAAGAGCAGACACAGAGAATATCCTTCAGACTTCCCAAAAACAAAAGGCTAGACTCTGAAGCTCTATCCGGCGCGTTAGAGCTGTGCTTTGGGAAGACGTGTTTAAAAGATTACAGCAGACTTCAATTAAAATCCCGCCAACAGATGGCCACAGAGACACTCCAGGAGCTTGCTATGGATGTTGAAAGGCTGTCTCATCTCGCCTTTCTGTAGTGCCCGACAGAAAAAGGGGCATCCTGTCTTTGCAGTACTTCATCGGCGGCATCCGGGATCCTGAAGCACAGAAAAATCTGCGAATGGCTAATGTCAAGAACATAAAAAGTGCTCTAGTGTACGCCATGAAATTCGAAATAGCTCAGCAAGCAACTCGTAGAGACCGACACTCAGAACTATTCAAGTCAAAGAGCCAGTGGATCAAATGGCTGCTCGCTTAGAGGATTTAACCAGACAACTCAGTGCCTTGAGATGGAATATTAGTGACAAGAAATCAAGTGCTGGAACTGCAGTGCTGAAGGGCACATACGAATGAACTACAAAATACTGCCAGGCACGGATGTTAAGACCTACTCTCCTTGCAAGAAGTTGGGAAACTAATTAGTGGCCATCTCGTGGGGCGGAGGTTGCCAGATAATGAGAAGCCCCATTTTAAGTCGCTCCAGATTTCTGCAATGAGTGGTGGCAGTAATGAACGTTTCATCATGGGATATATCATTGGAGTTGCCCGCAGGTGACAGGTGACGAATGACGGGGACGCTTGATGTCTAACAGAGGTAAACAGACATGTGTCCCACGTCCTTCCCTGTCGAGACATTCGAGACATTAGGTATTTTTGAAGCAGGAGAGATGAAAATTGAGCAAAGTCTTCGCTGGGAATCAAACCACGAACCTCTGGAACACGAGCCCAGCGTGCAGATTACCACACCACGAAGGCATGCTAAGAAGACGTGAGAAATACCTTATATACTCCCCCTTTTTAAGAGGCGACTGGGTTTTTATGGGACTCAATCCCCAAATCCTGGGTGTAGAGAATCATCCACCACACTTTTAGTTCAGCCACTGTAGAGACATTAGGCATTTTTGAAGCAGGAAAGACGATAAATTAGCATCGCCTTCGCCAGGAATCTAATCATGGACCTCTGGAACATGCGCCCACCACACCCCACGAAGGCATGCTAAAAAGGTGGGAGAAATACCTTATACCCCTATTTAGAAGCTACAACTCCCTGGAATCCCGAGAGACTGCACCGGGAGTTTATTATGATTTAAAACATATAGGTTGCAGTGTCATACAGGAGCGGTTTCAGCTTTACATAAGTGATACAATAACATAATGTCGTGATTTTACATATAAACCTAAATAAACACAGGAGAGAAAAAGAAAGAGAATGAGTTCCCTACAATATGACGATAGATACAGCAGCCAACATTACCATCATCCGAAAATATTTGGCTCAACAACTGGAAAAAAACTTATCTGAACGCCGCCCTGCGTTACCCTTCAGACTGTTCCTAGAAGCAGATCGACATCAAGCGAAAATTAAACGTTAATATCACGTCTCGAAGTGCCGCCTACTATCACACGGCATGTGTGGCAGAGATTGCAAATCCTTGTATCCTCGGATTGGATTTTCTAAAGAAATACAATTTCTCC